CTCTTCCACACCCACAGGCCCCCACACGGCCGCTTTCCTGACAACCACACTGGAAACTGAGTCACTCCTTGCACGGCCGCACACCCACGGTCAGCAGCACACGTTATTACTGCAGTCACACTTTCACACACCAGTCGAGGGACACCCTCACACCAGCATGCACGTGTTCACTACAGAGGAACAGTTGTAGAGACACACAATCGCCCTGTCACAGAAAACACGCATTCACCCGCATTCTCCCTGGCGCACACGTCCTTACACGGACAGATCCAGTTGTAAAGCAGACGGAGACCCCTCGCCCCCGAACTCCTACCGACACGCCTCTTGGTTGTGGTTGTGCCCAATAGCCTAACACTGATACATAGTGGACATTCAGTACATATTTGGGTAAAAACACAAAAAACAGATTTTTAAATTATTCCTTGAAGACGAGCACAGCTGCCCTCACCGTCAGGCACACTTCCACATGCAGCCCCCGCCCCCCGACACACAGCCCCACAAAAACGAAGTAATTAAGTTATCACACACACCCCTAAGCTAAAGGACAACCCCTGGCTCAGGGGTCTCCCCCAGAGGGGGAAGGGAGCAATGTGGGATCCAGAGGGGCCTCCCCCGTGGGTGAGCCCCCCCTCTTCTCCTCCCCCTGCCACAGCCTCAGCCCCAGCTGCTCCTCTTTTAATTGGAGGCGCTTCTTTATTCTGCATGCCTGGTGTGGGGGTGTGTGGGGGGGGGTGGCTGGTGCTGGAAGGGGCTGCTATTACCAGGTGGCCTCAGGGCTGGACTCACCTAGACTTGAGCAAAGATACTCCTGCAAGGCAAGGACCACATCTGTCTAGTTTGGTGCAGAGGAAGCAGCTTGTAACGAATGGAGTCAGAAAGGCAGCATCTGAGTCCCCTCTCTGTCCCTTTCCAGCTTTCAGCGCCTTGGTTTTTTCATCTGTAAAATGGAGACAACAAAAGCCACATGAGGGATATTTGGAGGATGGAATGAGAGGGTAGCTGGGACACCACTGGTGCTTGGTGCCTCCTCCCCAAGCTCTGTCCTAAAAGGGCTACTCCGCAAGGCAATGGAACACAAGCTGCAATAAATCAAGCCCTGAGCCCTCTCCGGCATTTCAGAAAACTTTCTACACTGCAGCATTGTACTCAGGAAACACGGCTCCAGGGAGTGGTAGGGGCCAGAACCCAAGGAATCCTGGTGCCCTTGTTTCATCTTCCTAGGCAGGGAAGGGACTGACAGGGTAACCCTGCCCTCCGCCACCATCCCATTGGAAGACAAAAGCTGAGGTGGAGCTGGGCTCGAAGAACCCCAGCTGGGGGGAGACCAGCAGCTCAGAACGGGATTGAGATGAAAGTTGGCTCTGATAAGCAGGAGAGGTTGTTGGGAAATCCAAAAGCAAGCAGGCAGGCAGGCAGGCAGGCAGCGGTGAGCGCAGGGGGGAGGCAGGGTATCCCTGGGTTGCTGGTTTTGGTGAGGAGAACAGCCTGACAGTCTCAGTGGGCCCCTAGGGGGCGATGACCTCTGCCAAACTTGGACTGGACCAGCAAGGGTGAGGTCTCCTCCCCGGTTCCCTGGACAACTGGCGACAGAGGTGAGGTGTTCAAGAGGTGAGTGAGGTGGATCCCGAAGGGTTGGAACAGGCAGGGCTGAGAAGGTAACTTAGGAGGGCAGAGGGGGCAGGGAGAGAGTGTTAGGAACACTCAAGGGGTTTCAGGCATGGGCCAGTGACCAACTGAAGTTGTTCTGAGGATAACCTAGGAAAACAAGGTTTTGTTTTGTTTTGTTTTAAGATATTATTTATTTATTTTTAGAGAGGGAAGGGAAGGAGAGAGAGAGAAACATCAATGTGCGGTTGCTGGGGGCCATGGCCTGCAACCCAGGCATGTGCCCTGACTGGGAATCGAACCTTCGATGCTTTGGTTCACAGCCCGCACTCAATCCACTGAGCTACGCCAGCCAGGGCAAAAACAAGGTTTTAATTGCAGCAGGTAGAACTGTGGGTAGGCACAAATGTGACTGCCTGAGTGAAAGGAGAAAGGCAGAGCAGGGCAGCTGGGACCCTGCCTCAAAGGATGCTGTAGGGCCTCTCCCTGAAGTTCTCACCCGCTACAGGAAAACTAGCTCAGATTTGGGGTCCCAGCTCAGTCCTCTGCTGTCTGTGGGACTTCGGGCAACTTTGTTCTTCTCACTGAGCCTTGGGTTTTGTTTCCTCTTTTTTAAAAATGAGATCTGATTCATGAACCATAATTTCAGCCCTTTAAACCACACAATCAGTGGCTTTTAGTATCTTCACAAAGTTGTGCAACCGTCTAACTCTGGAATATTTTCATCTCTCCGAATAGAAACTGTGTGTTTATTTGCAGTCACTTTCCAGCCCTGCTCCCCTCCTGCTCCTGGCAACCACTCATCTACTTTCTGTCTCTACAGATTTGTCTATTCTGGACAGTTTATATAAATGAAATTATATACTGTGTCACCTTCTGTGCCTGGCTTCCTTCACTTAGCGTGGAGGGCCGTGTGTTTTCTGGGTTCTTCATGTTGTAGCATGGACCAGGACTCCCTTTTTATGGCTGAATAATATTCAATTGTATGGAGAGACCACATTTTATTTATCCATTCATCAAAATTCTTCAATTTTTTTAAAACTTTTTGGCCATTATGAGTAATATGGCTATGAACATTCATTTTCTTAATTATTTAAAAATGGGGATGTTTCTATTAATTTCACAGGGTTTGGGGTCTTAAACGAGATCAGTGTGGTGTGGTGCCTGGCACATAGTAGTTTCTCAGTTAAACACTAATGTCTATCTCTTCTTCAGGTCTTTCAACATAAGGGGCAGGAAAGAGTGGTCTTCAGGTTCAAATAACTTCCTAAGAAAGGTATAGAACCTCCTGAATGGGGTGGGTGGAGAGGCGGGAACTGGCAAGGGAGGGGCACTCTCTCCTCATGTCACTGTTGAGCGTTTAAAACAACCACATCTGGCTTTATATTGAATGGGCCCCTGTCCACCTGCCTGGAGCCCAGACAAGGTTTTCCTTATAGAGATGCCCTTCCAGCCAGCAGCCAGGTGTCCAGGGTAACTCCTAAAAGCAAGTGGAATCCAGGCCCACCATCTTGATCAAGTCACTTAGCCTCTCTGAGATTTGATTTCTCTGTATCTATAAAATAGAAATAATATTCATCTCAAAGAGTTAGTGTAGGGTTTATAGTGTTCTCCACATAACACTTGTTGTAATCTGCCTTATTGTATTTGCTTCTTTACATCCCCCCTATGGAGTGCGAGCTCCACGAGGGCAGGAACTTTGTTCTGTTCACTGCCCTTTTCTCAGTGCCAAGAACCACGCCTGAGCTCTGGCCGGGCAGCTCAGTTGGTTAGAGCATTGTCCTGGTACTCCAAGGTTGCAGGTGCGATCCTTGGTTGGGGCACATACAAGAATTGACCAATGAGTGCATTAGTAAGTGGAACAACAGATATCAATGTTTTTTGTCTCTGAAATGAATAAATTTTAAACACCGTGTCTGATGTCTAGTAGGTGCTCAAATAAACTTGTTGAATGAGGAGGTTTACTAATTTATTATTCATTCAAAGTGGTTTGGGGCTATACTCCACAGGGAGGAACAGAGACGTGTAAGTCATTGCTTGCCTCCAAGGAGATCTCTTCAAGTGGAATAACAGCCGTGGCCAGGGCAAATGCTGCATCGCAAGGAGAGCTGATGAGTAGACCGAGTGCCTCCCCACTCCAGCACCGCGCCTGGTGGAGGGAACACTGCTCCGAAGGCCTGCTGGGTCTAGAATAGACCAGAAACAGATCCCAAGTGATCCAACCTGCGCGCTTCCCAGAGCTTGGCTTCTGGGCGGGATCAAACCGTTCCCTACTGGAGCGGGGAAAGAGGGGAAGCAGAAAAGGGAGTTTCCTCCTTCTCTCCTGGGCTCCAAGCCAGTTAGCCACAGGCAAAACTTTGAAGAGGCCTAAATGTGTCCAGGATGCACTTCCCTCTTCTTGGTCCCACCACCCCAGCCCCCACTGCCTTAAGCCCCTAGGCCTCCCTCCCAAGATTCCAAAAGTAAGAACATAACTCCCTCCCCTTACCACAGTCCAAAGCTTTTTTGCTTGAACTGCCCCCCCCCACACACACACCGCCTAGTTGCTATGTGAAAACAATCCGCGTGAATTCATTCAGATACTGTGGTAACTGCTTCCTGAGACATCTGTTTATTTTCAAGGAAAGGGGTATGTTGATGCATGGGCACCCTGGCAACAGGCCCCAAGCTAACTCCCTCGGCTGGTGCCTGCCTCTCAGAAAGCCTCCCCTTCCTCAGTTTCTCTAAACGGGCTGAGTTGGGGTGGTTGTTGATTTTTTTTTTTCAACATATAGCCTGTTCATAGGCATGTGTTTTAAAGAAGGGCAAGCCTGAACTCACCTTCCCTGCCTCAGGGTCCTGGGCTCCATACCTGGGGAGTAGACAGTCTTCTACTTTCTAACAAGCTGGACTTCAAGTTTGGTGTAAATCCTCTGGTTGATGGACAGGTGTTTCCCCGCTGAGCCCTTGGGGAGATTCTCCAGTAGCGCTGGGACACCTCTTCCCCAGAGGCCGGTGGGCTGGACCCCTTTGGCCCAATTCAAAGTTAGGGGGCGGCACCTGCCTGCCTGAGAGGAGGGCTCTGACCACCACCTCTTGGCCTCGCTCTGTCTGTCTGTCGGTCTCTGGGAATGGCCGTCTCCCGTTCTTTTTCTTTCTCCTTTTAAGTCTCTGTTTCCCCTCTTCCTGAAGAACTTCTCTGAGCCTCAGTCGCCGTCCTTCTGTCTCTGGCTCCTGCATCTGTCTCGGCTCCCGGCTTCTCACTCCTCGTCTCCGCCCCTCCCCCCGTGCTGTCATTCACCCCGCTCCTCTCTGCGCACAGCCAATGGAGAGACCGGGTCGGAACGGCGAGACTCGCTCGCACCGGGCTTTTTCGCCCGGTGATTGATGTCCCAGAGTCAACAGCGAGCGAGCAGCCGGAGAGGGGAAGGAGCAGCAGGAGACGAGTGGAATACGTCGCCCCCTCTCCCCTCCCCCTCCCCCTACTTTAGCCCTTCTGCGCACTTCGCCTCCAAGTCTCCGCGCAGCCAGGAGCAGCTCCCGCCTTCGCGCCCCTGCGCCCCTGCGCTCTGCCCCCAGAGCGAAAAACAGCGAGCCCCGCTGCCCAGGCCCCCCCGTGGGGCCGGGGCCGGGGGCCAGCATGGATCACCTGGGTCCGCACCATCTCCACCCGGGCCACGCGGAGCCCATCAGCTTCGGCATCGACCAGATCCTCAACAGCCCGGACCAGAGCGGCTGTATGGGGCCAAACTCACGCCTCCAGGACGGAGAATACGGCCTTGGCTGTTTGGTCGGAGGCGCCTACCCTTACGGAGGCGGGGGACCTGTGGCCGGGGCGGGGGCTGGGGGTGCGGGGGCCTATGGAGCAGGCGGCCCGAGCGGTCCTGGTGGCCCCGCTGGTGGCGGGGGCGGCGCCTGCAGCATGGGCCCTCTGGCCGGCTCCTACAACGTGAACATGGCCTTGGCGGGCGGCCCGGGTCCGGGCGGCGGCGGAGGCGGCAGCGGCGGAGGGGCGCTGAGCGCTGCGGGGGTGATTCGGGTGCCCGCGCACAGGCCACTAGCTGGAGCAGTGGCCCACCCACAGCCTCTGGCTACCGGCTTGCCAACCGTGCCCTCCGTGCCTGCCGTGCCGGGCGTCAACAACCTCACGGGCCTCACCTTTCCCTGGATGGAGAGTAACCGCAGATACACAAAGGACAGGTTCACAGGTGAGTCCGGCCTGCGCGCACCCCGCCTGGCCGCGGCCCGGCTCTGCGCTCCCTCTTCCTGCCCCCACCCCACGTGGCTCCCCGCTGCCCCCTTTGCGCGCCTAGTCACCCAGCTCCTCTTGGTGCTTTCTCCAAATTTAGCAGCCTGCCACCTATCTATGCTCAAGGAATCGCCATGCTGGAGGAGTTCTCCCAGCCTGGGCTCCTCTGCGTCTCTTTCGCAGGACCCCCGGTTGCGAAGCGCTCCCTGATCCCCTCTCGGAGTTCCTGGGACGGGTTAGGCGGAGGGAAGGGGGATGTAGCTTTGAGACTACATTCCGCCCGCGTTTGGGGCTCAGGAATCTCAGAGAAGGGGCGCGATGTGAACAAACTACTTCCGTCCCGACGTTCTCTGTCCGAGGCAGCGAGCCCTAGGACCAGACGCAAGGAAAGAGCAGGTTCCCCACCTCCTGCCCGCCCCCCAGCACGCACACACACACTCACACATTCCAAGCTCCAGTGTCCGTCGCGCTGCCCGTCCGGCAGAGGCCAAGGGCCCCAGTAAAGCAGCAGAGCTGGCGGGCACTTCTCCGACTGCAGGCTTCATCCGGGTCGGTGGCAGCCTGAGGCTAAGCCACCCGCTTCATTTTCGTTCTGTCCCGGCTTGGCGTCCTCCCCGCACCCAGTACCCTGGGCCCTGCAGCGTAAATAATGCACTGGCCAGGCCCACGATCGATTGAGCACCCAAGGACTACTCCTGGGACGATTACGTCTTCGGCGGCGCCGGCTGCCGCACTCCCCGGTGCCCGCTCCGCGCCTTCCTCCGCTGGCCCCGGCTCCCTCCACTCCCGCTTCCGCTCTCAGCACTCGGCCCCCGCTCCTGCAAGGGCCCTTTTCCTCCGGCTTCCCTTCCCGCTTCCCTTGGCGTTCCCTGAATCCTAGAACACCATCCTCCCGCCGGGCCGGGCCCCCAGCCCGCTGGGGAGCAGCCACGAGTTGAGTGTGGGTTCCGGACCAGGCCTTAGAGAGAGGAAGCAGGAGGAATAGGCCAGGACTCCCGTGGGGCTCGGCCTCCAGCGTCCGACTGTGAAAGGAGGAAAGGCAGCTTAGAGCGAGACCCTGGGCCAGACGACCCGAGGCAGGGCAGGTCCCCTGCTCCTGCTCCTGCTCCAACCGTGGAACTGTGGCTCACACTCTGGGTCCCGCGCAAAAGTTTAGGAGGGGGTGCTCAGAGGCGGATCAGCGGATCCACTTTGGGCCTCTGGGAAGGGCCCTGTACCCAAGGGGCCCCACTGCCCCAGCCCAAGTTTTCTCAGGTCTGGGGAGTCGGGGCCTGGCGCCCATCCCCTCAGCCCCAGGCCAGGCCAGTCCTGAAGGACTCTGGTGGAACTCCCAGCCTGGAACTCGCTGGTCCTGAGGCTGGTGAAAGGTACTCCACACAGGGCCTACCTAGGGGCGCCACAACCCTTCGAATCTCCCTCAGGCCTAAAGAAGGTCCGGGGGGAGGGTATGGCCGTTGCCTTGTGTCACTTTGTGTCGCCCCATGTCCTGTGTGTGTCTGCCTGTGTGTCTGTGCGGCCGTGCAGATCTATAGCTTGTCACTGCTGTATGCGACGAGTCTGTGTGTATTGCTGTGTGATGGAGGCTCAGGTCAGCACCGAGGATCGGGGTCTTAAGCAAGCATGGCCTCTTACTGTTGGGCAGCTTCTCTGAGGCTGGCGACCTGGGGCTGTGGAGGGCTGCGACCTTTAGCTCTCCTCTGAGACTGGGGAGGTGCCCGAGGCGCTGTCTTGTTGGGCACATGGGAGCCCGGGGCTAGGGAGGCCTCAGCGGTGGCAGCGGCTGCGGCTTGGCGGCGGGAGGGGGTTGTCTCTCGCCCGAGCTTGGAGCTGAGGGCTTTCGGGAGGAGGATCAAGGTCCTTCTCGCGGGGTTTAGCCGCTACGCTCGCTGATTCGCGGGGTGTCGGGCCTGGGACACCTCCTGACGCTCTGCCGCTTGCCTCTGCCGTCTGTCTGTCTCCCGCTCCAGTGGCCCTCTCACCCTTCACTGTAACACGCCGTATAGGTCACCCCTATCAGAACCGGACGCCCCCCAAGAAGAAGAAGCCGCGCACGTCCTTCACGCGCCTGCAGATCTGCGAACTGGAGAAGCGCTTCCACCGCCAGAAGTACCTGGCCTCGGCCGAGCGCGCCGCCCTGGCCAAGGCGCTCAAAATGACTGACGCGCAGGTCAAAACCTGGTTCCAGAACCGGCGGACAAAGTGGAGGTGAGAGCGCGGGGCGGGCGCGGCGTGGGCGCCACGGGCGGCACAGTCTCCGCCGGCCGCTCGAGGCTCCGGGCCTCTCGGGGCCCTCACATTCGCCCTGCTCCCGGTTTCCGCTCAGCTCAGAGGAGCGAGCACCTCCTGCCAGGCTCTCGGGGAGTGGGAGGCGAGGGAGGCCGATGACCGAGACGGGGCTGGAGAGCCCCGGGTCTGTTTTACTGGAGGCTTCCTGTTTTTCTGACGGGCACAACTAGTGCCAGTGTAGACGCGGCTGATCTTCGCGGGTGCTTGGGGAAACAGCCGGTTAGAGCAGTCTATGCAGTCCGAGCTTCCTGGATCAGAGTCCTGCAGGACTTTTTGTTTGCGCAAACTCACACTTACGAAGATGCCTCCCCTGTCCCCGAGACCGGAGACGGGATGGCCCACGCCCTGTTTCTGCGCCCCAGCCGGGATCTCTGCAGAGCGTCCGGGGCCCCAGGCCACGGCCTGGGCTCTGCTGACTCCCTCCTCCCTCCCCCCGCCTGAGGGCAGTGGGTTCCCTCCCTGGACGGGGAAAATCAATCCGCGCCGGCTGCGACGGGGTTTTCGAGGGTCCCACTGAATCCGGGATCAATTAAGAGCAGATGGGTGTGTGTGTGTGTGTGTGTGTGTGTGTGTGTGTGTGACACACACAGGGAGAGAGATTTCCACTTCTCACGTCACACACCCACAACTACACTAATTTTTCTGCATAAACCTCAAAGTCTGTCCTCTATCCCCCCCACCTCTCTCTTTCTCCCTCTCCCTCCCTTCCTCCCACCACCCTTCTCTTTCTTAAGCACATAAAGTGTCCCACTGACACCAGGCAGCCTTGTTCTCCGCGCACACCGGCGCTCTCTCCCCTGGGCGGCCTCGCATCCCTGCACCCTCCTGTGCGTCTGACCCGTGTACCACTCCTGCCCGGAGTTTCTCGCTAGCTCAGGCCTCAGGGGGTAGCGCAAGAGTCTGGGCTAAGGCGGCGGCGCCGGGCCGGGCGGGCCTGGGACGGGAGGAAGGAATTGGAGTTTCCTCTTTTTCTGAATGAAGGCGAGGAATCTGCCCGGGATTCCGCCGTGGTGGCCACAAAGGAAGCCACTGCCCCGCGAGTCTGCTGCCCTCCCCTCCCCACATTCCTGCCGCCTGGGAAGGGGTGGAGGACCAGCCTCGGACCCCTGGGAAGCCAGTTAAAGAGGAGCAAGGGCCAGCCGGGCAGGGGGGACACTGGTGTTCTCAAGGCCCACCCAGGGCTGTGACCAGGGGAGGGGGAGAGCCAGGCAAGCCTCTTCCCGGGTGGGGGTCCGAGGAAGATGGAGCGGCAGGCAAAGGGAGGAACGGAAACGCGAACGGGCGGCAAGGATAGGTGCCCCACCCCGGGGAGGAAAGGAAACCAGGCAGCCCAACGAAGCGTTGTGTAGAAAAAAAGAAACCGATGGAGGATCCAAACCTCCATTTTCGTTTCAAACAAATTCCCGTAATTTTCAAAGAGCCCAAGGGGTGAGGGCGGGGGTGAAATAAAACGGGAGATGAAGACGCGGAGCCCGAAGGAAGAGAAGCAGTCAGGCGGTTTAAAGTGCAGGAAAGGAGGGGAAGAAGAGAGCCAGGGAGACGCAGAGCAAAAAGCAAGAAGGGGCGGCGGGAAGGAGGCCGGCGGCAGTCGCTGGGAGAGGCCCTCGCTGGCTTTGCGCGGCTTCATCGATCGCCTGCAAATTGCTTCTGGAGGCCCCGGGGACTCCCATTAGGTCTGTCCACCTTAGAGACAGACGTTTGATCTCAGTTGACGGGGTGGAGGGGAGGCATTAAATGGAATAAGTGAGCCACCGCCTCCCTGGACCGACCGCCTTGGTGGAGAAAGCAGGCCGGTCGGGCGGCCGTCCCGGCAGGGCACAGGGCTCGGCGCAGGAGGTCGGAGCCGGGGAAGCGTTTGCAGAGAAAAGGGGAAGAAGAGGGGTCTGGCGGGGCAGCTCGGATCCGCCGGCGTTTGCCTCTGCCCCGGCCTGGTGGGGAAGGGTTGCCCAGGGGGTGTCTGGTCGTCCTCAGGGTTGGGAGAGGCCAGATGCCATCCTGCCCTCGGCCGGGCCGCCCTTCGAGGGTGGCGTGCAGGCGCCGCGCAGACGAGGAGCCCCAGCTGCTTGCCTATAGGGTTTTCCCACAGCTTCCCCAGATAGCGCCATTCCCTCTACTCTTGGGGTTGCCAGTCTTTGTGGGAGTCAGGACCTTCAAGATAAGGGAATGCTTTAGAGGGGCCCAAGCTGGAGCTGGGCGCTGTCAAGGGGAGCTGTGCTCGCCCGGGCTCTCTCGGGATCGCGCCGGAGCGTGGGTAACGGCTTGTCCTCGGTGCAGGCGGCAGACCGCGGAGGAGCGTGAGGCCGAGAGGCAGCAGGCGAACCGCATCCTCCTGCAGCTGCAGCAAGAGGCCTTCCAGAAGAGCCTGGCGCAGCCGCTGCCTGCGGACCCGCTCTGCGTGCACAACTCGTCGCTCTTCGCCCTGCAGAACCTGCAGCCGTGGTCTGACGACTCGACCAAGATCACCAGCGTCACGTCGGTGGCGTCGGCCTGCGAGTGATTCTGCCCATTCCACTCCGGAGACCCCGGCCCAGCCAAGGGGTCGCCGCCACGGCCTGAGAGCCGGGACTGTCTTCGACTCCACCGGCCTCGGACTGCACGCCGGAGGAGAACGCTGCCCCGCTCACAGGCGTCTGCGTGCGCGGAAACTTCTCTCTTCGGTGGAAAAGGAGAAAGAAAGCACAGAGGACAAGGACCGGCGACCTCCTCCCAAACTCCCAGGCGGTCCTGCGCCCGCTAGAACTGTTCAGAGTCGGTCTCAGTTGCGTCTGTTTTATTTTATTCTGATTTTTATCGTGGGACCGATCAAGAGAGGCAGGGGAAGAGGAGCTTCTGGGGTCCCCTGAGGACAGCATGGGCTGTCATTTGAACCTCGCTCTGTATCCCACTCCTCATCACACACTGACACCCATAGGCCCACACAGAAATGATCTCACCGTCCCTCGTGGTGTCACCCCAGAGTCACACACAGGGGACCTATGGCAGAGTGTCATGCACACACGGGGCCATAGCCTTCTTACCCTTTTTCCTCACCATCTGGCCTAGGCCAGGAGTGACCTGGACTCATTCTGAGCAGCATTCCAAACAGCACTTCTCGTAAACACAAGGCCACGGCCACACTGTGACATGCCATCCCACACACAACAGCCACCACAGCATCGCTTGGCCTGCCAGACCTCCAGCACCCCTCCTAGCCGCACCAGGTACGCACAGCCAGGTTTCCACACAGACTCAGCCTATTTCTCCAGATCCCATTCATGGGGGGGTTTAAGTTATGCACTTATAAGGTGTTTTCTGTGTAACCATTTTATAAAGTGCTTGTGTAATTTATGTGAAAAAAATAAAACCCTCCGGATCCGGAGTTAGGGCTGCCTGCTCCTTGCTGAGCCAGCACCTTGCAGCTACTTGGGTTTGGCGTGAGATGGTGCTACCAGGGCAGCCACTGGTGCCTGAGCTTGAGGGACATCTGGGGGCCAGGACCAGCAGCAGACCCTGGAGAGAGGAAGAAGGGGAACAGAGAGAAGGCAGAGCTGAGGGAAGGAGGGATAGCAAGGCTCTCCTGGGACAGCTAGTGTTGGAGAGGGTATAGTGTGTCTGAGTGTGAGAATCGTGTGCATGCATCGTGTGTTCGCAATGGTGTGGGCGATGAGAATGTTACTGATAGTGAGTATTTGTGATAGTGGGTAATTGTGTTTGCAATTATTGGTGTGCTTGTTTCTGCTTAAGTTGCAAATCGAAACTATCATTATCCACTCGAACTTCTGTGTGTGTGTAACCACATGTAAGTGGGGCTGGGTTTGGGGGTAAGTGTGTGATCACCCACCTGTATCTGTGATTGTGCGTGAATCATATTAGTGTTTGTGAAAGTACATATTAGTTTCTCCTTGTGCATCTGTTTCACATTAATGGATGAATAGGACTGGGTGTCATCTGTAATTATGTGAGTGTAATTGAGTGGGAGGTGTAATCACTCATGAGATGTGCATTTCACTGCATATACTCATGTGTGACAGTATCTATGTATTTGGGGAAATGAATTAGTGGGGAGTGGGGATCACTGTGGGTGATTATTCTTGCCGATGAGTGTTTGTGAGTGGGTGTAATTGTGCGTTGGTGATGTACAAGATAGTGGGGGTCTCAGGTATGGTGTGCAGATACATTGTGGGGGTACTGACATCTGCTCACAACTCTGGGGTTCTAGGCCTTGACCCAGTAAGCTGCAGACACTGGGGCACCGAGTCATTAAGGGGACCAGGATCCGCTGGGGTGCTCTAAGCAGGCCTTCACAGCTCCCAGCACCAGCCTGCCCTAGGTGGGGTCTGATCCCAAGAACATTCAGAGAAGCCCCAGACCACTCCAGCTGGGACAGCAGCCACAGGGCACACCACTTTCCATAAAATCTGCCCCCCCCCACATACACTCACTATACCAGTCGCAGGTGCACAAAAATGGTTGGGGCCTGCTTTTGTGCAAGGAGCTGGGTGGTGAGGAGCTGGGGAACATGCTATCCTGGGGGAGGAGAGAGGGGAGATAGGAGGCTCTTTCTTCGGGATGGGAGAGTGAGAAAACTTTGTGTCTAAAAACAAGAGGTGAGTGGTGTGGGGGACCTGTTTGTGCATGCAGAACTGTGTGCAGTGGGATTGGGGTCGGGGGCCACTGTTCTTCATCCCTGGCCAAGCTGCCATCCTGGACATGCCCTAGGAAATAGGGACAAAACACAGCAACCTCCCACCCAGGGAGGCCCACGGGGAAATTTGGCTGTGTGGGGAGTGGGCAGCACTCCTTCATCCCTCTGCTGTGGCCCTCTTGGTGCTGGCTCTCTTTGAGAGAACTCTGGGCCTGAAAATCATAGGTCAGCCTCCTGTCCCCACCCCCCCAGACCCAAGGGGTGACCAAGGCCAGGCCCTGACAGACTCCGTGGCTGGTCGTGGGGAGCAGTTCCTGGCCACACTGCAGGGTCTGCAGCGGTTCTCAAGCCTGCCATGGCTGCAGCGTCCAGTACCTGGCTGAGCAAAAGCCGGGAACTGCCTCCTGGAACCGTAGAATCCATCTCCTTCTGCCTGGGCAGGTCTGGCTTCTCCTCCCCTCTCACCAGTCCTGGAGTTTCCCGGCCCGCGCTCTTCGTTTGGGGAGGTGTCTTCCATTTTTGGTCTCTAAGGCTCACATCTTCCGTGTCTCCAGGCTGCAGGAGCCCAGAGCGCGGGACCCAGGGAGACTGGGGCCTCCCAGTCCCTGGAATAGCCACCTCCAAGAAGCTGCTGCGTCTGGAGGCTCCTGGGTATTTTCTGGCCTCAGACTGCCCAGGGAGGAGCTGAGGTAGGAATCGGGAGCGGCTGCCCAGCCCAAACACAAGCCCACAAACTGGGTTCTTCACCGCTACCCCTTGTCCCCCTCTTACAACACAAACGCAACCAAAATTAGGCATAAGGCATTTCCTCTCCAAAATACCGCCTACCCCCCAGCTTTACAAACAGCTAGGGTTCCCACTCACGTCCAGCCGGCGAATGCCCGCTCAGCCCGGCTGCTCTCGGTTCCCGTCCAGCTCGTTGGGCATTCGCGGGAAAGTGGGCACCCCGCATACCAGAACTGCGAGCGCTGTTGCCCCCCACCTCACGCCTAATGCGGGTGCGGGTGGCCACCTGGCTGCCCCAACCTGCGACTCGGACCTCCCGCGCCTGCTCCCAGAGCTCGCGGGTGGCGCGCTCTCCCGGGACCCCTCCCCCATGCACGTGGCCTAGAGCCATGCGTCCCGGAGGTACCAGACCCCGGGGGCACTGAGGCTCTTGGCGCTGGAGAACGGCGCAAGACTATCCACTCTTGGCCAGGAATTCGTTGGGACCAAATCCTGGCGAATCCCGCGTCGGCCGAGGGCCGCGGCTGCCGGGAAAGGCCAGGCTGGCGGCGGGGCCTGCAACCCGGTTCCTGGGGGGCAAAGGCCAGATGGGAGGGGGCCACGAAGATCACAGGCAGGGCCAACTATCCGCAGCAGAAATTTCACAACTTGCGGCCTGCCAGGCGCCTGCCGGAAATGGTTGGGCTCTCTGTTCAAAAATAGAAAAGGAATTATCCGAATAATTGTGTGCAGAGGTGCGGGAAAAGAAGAGAAATTAACGAACCTGCCTGGACAGAAAGGCCCGCTCCCTTCCTTGTCTTGAGTGAGCCCTGAGCACCCAGTTTCTGGGCTCAGTGGGGGCCCAGAAACCCTTGCAGGGCGGGGGTCCTAGGAGTCCGGGCTCTGCCTCCGGTGGCACAGAGTGACACAGAGAATCTGGCTCAACCTGTTAACTATAATAATGGCTTTGTGCGGCGGGATCTGTGCTTGGGGGCTGTGTGGGCATGGCCTGAGCTCCGCCTGCTAATGTTCCCGCTGCAGTGCCGAGTGCGCTGTTTGCCCTCTGCCAGGACTCCGATGGGAATCCTGTTTGTGGTGTGAGTGACTTGCTGGCGGTCGAAGTAGGTTCCAGGCACGGAGCTGGAGCAGCTGGGAATCAGCAGCCGCGCTGGGGAAGGGGGACTTGTGGCCCCAGGGCTGCCCTGAGGGCCCCTCAGGCCAGAGGTGGGAGGGGCCTCCCTCCCTCCTACTCTGCTCCTCGGCTCCCCTCACATCCTCCTTCGCACGCTACTCACTCCCACACAGCCCCCAGGGTCCTCCTCCGAAGCAGCAAATTCCCATCCTAGGCCCTCCCTAATCAGCTCAGAGTTTGGAGCCTGCAACCAGGCTGCTGCCTGGGCAACGAACAGGAGCTGCGTGGGCTTTCCCCCAATGGCACGAATTCACTGCCCAATAGGCGGGGAGGCCCCTGGCACCACTCGTCTGCACCCATGCCTCCACCCCTCATTCCAGGGACTCCGGTACAGGGCCTGACTGGGCAGTGGGGAGGGCTGGTGCCCGTTTGGATTTCCAAGGAGCTCGGAGCAGACTCGAAAGATGGTGCCCTCCGTGGCCGGGAAAGGGAGAGGAACGAGTTGAGGGAGCCATGGGTATCCACGTTATGTTGGGTGGGTACAAACTCACGTCCCCTCATTCACAGCCTGCACTGAGTAAGCCTCACACAGCCCCTTCTCCTATGCTTGGGGTGCGCCGTGATACTCAAGGGGAGCCACAGGTGTGTGGTGCTGGGTACACACGCTCGCACACAATCCCCACTGCTGGCATTCGCAGCTACTCTCACAAGCTTATCCCCTCAGGGCCCCACCAAGCTCTCACGGGTGGTTATCCTGCGGCCACCCCGCTGCAGGGCATCCCTTTTCTCCCCTCCTCTCCTAGCCGGGAGGGAGGAGGGACTAACTCGACTGCCAGTCAGCCTGGGGGTGGGGATTTTCTAGGCCGGTGCTTTAACTTCCAGCTCTGCAACGCTGGTGGCCCCCGCCTCCCCCGCCCCCCATGAGCTGGAGACTGAGCCTGGGGGCCACAGACCGCCCTGGATTCTGGCCAAGGACCTTAGCAAGGCCTAGAGGTCCAGCGGTCGCCTCTGCCTCCTCAAGCCTACGGAAATCCGGGTCTCCTTGTGTGTTCCAGAAGGTGGTGGAGGGCCTGGGGATTCGAGGCCCACAATGCCAAGTGTCCCTCTAAGGAGGAGGCTGCTCCTGCCCCCTCACGTTTCCCGCCCTGTGGTCCCAGAGCCCATGTATCTTCGGTTCCTGCGGGAGGAGTCTCAAAACCCAGTAACTGGAGGCGGTGGCAGCGACTCAATCTTCCCAAGTGGGAGCCAGACGGCGGGCCTCAACGCAGAAACGCAGGACCGGTGAGTTCCGGGCGCCCTCTAGGGGCCTCGCGGTGAGATGAGACTGGAGCCGAAGCCCTGGGAGTTTGGGGTCTGAGGGACCCGAGGGACAGCAGGGTGTGCTCAGCCTGGGTGGAAAGTAATAATGATAGTAATATTAATAAGCAGCATCATTGAGCGTTTTCCTCGTTCCAGGCACGGCACTAGGTTTTAAAGGTATACTTAACAACCCCCTGTGAGGTAGGCGGCATTTCCATCCCACTGTACAGACAAGGAAAACAGGAGTCCGGAGCAACTCTCCTAAGAGCATAGAGCTGACAAGAGGTGGGGGTCAGCATTCCCACTCGGGGCCTGACCCTAGAACTAGGGCCCTTGGGAGAGATGTGGTGGATTTGGGGAGGCCTCAGGCTGAGACCCTACCAGCCCCCTCAAGCGATGTGTCAGTTTGTGGAGGGAGCTCTTAGTTCAGGGGTCCGCTGGGAGTTTGCTCCCTACGACTCTGGAAAAAATGCTTCCAAGCTACTGGGCCCCTTCTGGCTCTGACTGCCTGTCCCCTCACCCCACTTTCCAAGACCATCCCTGAAGCACTGCCAGGCCTCCACATCTGTCCAGCGCCCACCATCTGGGCCTTCCCAGCCTCGGCTGGCCTACTCCTGGGT